TTTTTTCCCATAATTTTATTGATAAACAAATAGCAATGAGACAGTTTCAAATCAAATCGGTAGGACAGTTTCAATAATTAACACACTGCATACATTCTTAGTCCTTGTTCTTAAGAGGTTTACCCCTAAAATCAAATGTCCTTATGAATATAAAAATAAATGTGTTAACATTCACAAAAGAGGTGTAAAGAATACTTAGCTTGTAAGGCAGCTAGCTAGGGGAAGGACCTGGGGTAGAACCACGTGACCACCATATTGATAAATGGACAGTGAACTAGGACTTCGGACCAAGAATGAACTTCCTCAGGCAATATGGAATGTAGCCCCACCCTACCAAAGGGAAGTATAGCCACTCCCTACTAAACTCCAGGGTTCTGAGGAATTTAAAATGCAAAATAAACAGATTGGGGTTTTTCTCTATAACTCCAGTTTGCTTTAAACTCTATATGCTGAAGAACTGGGTTAGAAGCCTGCATTTCAGTTGGTCATTTTAAATCCACAGAGCCAAGGCTGGGCGTGGTGGTGCATGTCTGTAATCCTAGCACTTTGCAGGCTGGGGCAGGAGAATGCTTGTGAGTTTGAGACCATCCTGGGTGGCAAAGTGAGCTCAAGCCAGCCTGAACTGCACAGTAAGACTCAAGTCTCAAAAAGGCAGAAAAAATTTTTTTAAAATTCCAGCTGTTGATAGGTGGCCACTAAACAAATGGGAAAGTTCTGGGCTCTGCTTGGGGGGTGGGGACAGGGCGGGGTGGAGATTAGGGATCCCCTCCAGGAAATATAGGAGCTAGTCTTGTTATTTCCGATAAAAGTTTCCTGGCCAACTTCTTTGGCTTGCTACTTCACTCCTTTATGTTGTGAGACCACAAATAGTACACACCGTAACATTAATGCAATATTTACCGAATCAGGAGACTGGTCCTGAGATGTGGAGTGGAGCAGGACATGACGGAGGCATGCCTCTAACCCAGCTACTTGAAAGGCTGAGGCCGGAAGATCTCTAAGCCTGGACAATTCAAGACCCTGCCTCAATAAAGAGAGGGGCAAGGTGGGACATTCATGTATGCCAGTACTAAGGAAGCTGAGGAGGATGCAAAGTTTGAGTCCCACATGGGCAATTTACCAAGACTCTGTGTCAAAATACTAACATGACTAATGATGATGGTGATGCTCACATGGTTGTGCATCTCTATAATATCAGCACTCTGACAGGATGAGGTAGAAACACGGAGAGTCGGCGCCCAGCCTGGGCAATTCAGCGACTTAGAGCCTGTCTCAAAACGTAAAGACACATGATGTAGCTCAGTATAGGACCCGGGTTCGATCCCCAGCATCGAAAAAACATAAGCCGCAGCAGCAGCTGAGTACGGCTGACACACGCCTGGGATCCCAATACTCTGGAAAGCAGAGGCAGAGGCAGACAGATCGCAAATTCGACTTCTCTGATAGAGGAATCTGGAGACTTGTGTCTCAACCTAAAAAAAAATTTAAAAGGCTGAATTTCAGCCTGGGCGTACGATAAAAATAATAGGGCGAGGTGAGGGGCTGAGGGTGTAG